CAGTGGAAGGGATTGCACCGTGTGGCTGCCGTCAAGATCATTCGTGGCGACTCGAATTTCCTGGTGGATGATTGGACTGTGTGGCTTCCTCCTCTGCAGCAGGGACGTGGCGTAAGTATCTCTTGGTCAATCAAACAAAATAATTTTACTGACCGTTGCCTTTTTTCTAGACAATGTCGAGCCATTGGAACTTCGATCATGACAAGGTCATGATCACTCGGGGTGGTCTTGATGCAGTGATTGCCTCGGGTCAGAACGCGACGTTTACGTTTGAGTTCTTCCCTAGGGCGGAGGGGAATGGAAATACGGTTGAGTTTACGTTGACGGTGTAGGATATTTAGGTTTTCCAAGGCAGAAAGATTAAATTTCCCCCGCCGTGGGGGTTTCCCTTCCATGCGTGGTTTCTTGACACGGTGACTTTGTCCGTTCCTGCCTCTTCAAGTTCGGGAAAATCCCAGCAAACCTTGAAATTACAAATGATAGCCCCCGCTATCTGAAAACCCTTCCCACCATTCCATTCGATATACCATTCATTCCTAAGTGCGGTAACACACAACCTGCTCTCAGTGTACCTCGTGCAGGAGACTATCGAACGCCTGCTTTCCAAAGGACGGGAAGTGCGGGGAAAACAAGACTGCTCTGAGGTTGGAGGCTCCATCCGTGCAACCACACACTTACACCACCACCCACGGAAGGACCCGCGAGACAAGATTTCTGGGCGAAAGGCTTCGAGGCAAGATCGCCATGAGACACTATTTTGATCAAGCCCGCATATGCAGTTGGTCAAGTCCTGCGCCGCCGTTACACAAGTCCCGGCAATTGTGCTCTTGGGTGTTATCCCTCTTAACGGGTCGGCGAAGTTGGTGATGTTGCAGAACGGCTTACTGAGCACAAAACACTAGAGATACCACAAAGGTTCCCACCAAGTATATGATGGTCCTGTCTTGGCCTGCCCGCAGCTTTCTCCCCGTTCCATCGTAATACAACACACTGGGTATTTTGCACGACTTGAACCATGACTACTTCTAAACCGATCGTTGGAACCGTCCCTCCACCGCCAGGGGTCATTCCCAATTTTGAGCACCCCTCCCCTTCCATCGCCCATCACTTGATTCAGGCTGCCGCCATTGCGCCTGCTGTTGCCCTTCCTTTCTTGCTACTCCGTCTGTACACGAGCTACTTCATTGTCCGCCGTTGGCACAAGGACGACACGTTTATCATTCTTGGATATGCAAGTTTTTTTTTATGAGCTACTGCTCACACTCCGTTGGCAGTTTTTTCTAACTGAGATTCGTTTGTCGTTCGGCAGATGTTTGCAGTTGCGTACGCCATCATCACTGGAATTCGTAAGTGATCCACCACGTCAGGAATGGTATACTTCAAAATACCAACTTCGGATCGTGCAGAACCCAACAATGGAGCGGGCGTCCATCTTTGGGAAGTCCCGACCACCAAATTCCGCAACTTTATCAAGGCATGTATGGCCTTCTCTAGTCCCGATTGTGGTCCTTTTTTTGAGCTGAACTGACTCGTTTACAAAAAGACGGGCAGCATCGGTGGCAGCATCTCCTACAACCTCTGCACCCTCTTCGTCAAAATCTCCATTCTCACTCTTTACCTTCGGTATTCAACTCAACGCAAATACTTCCGCATCGCCGTCTATGTTGTCATGTTCATCGCTGCCGGCTACTCCTTCACCAACGCCATTGCCTTCACGTACAACTGCACGCCCATCGAGCGACTGTGGGATCCGGTAAACGTTCCTGGAAGATGCATCAATAGTTATGAGCATTTCCTGATTGCCGCTGGACTGAATGTTGGGACCGATATTGTTATTTTGTTGTTGCCAATCTGGATGCTGTGGGGTGTGAGGCTGGGTACGATGCAAAAGCTTGGGCTGGGAGGGATCATGATGGCTGGTGGATTGTAAGTCTCTTTTTCCTACTTGTGTTCTGTGAAAATGACCTGTTACTGATGAGATACAGCGTCTGCTCAGTCAGTATCGTCAGACTGAAAAGTGTCTTGCGGGGAGATCCAACGATGGATTTCACGTGGAGTTATGTTCCGAATGTGATTTGGTGGTGAGCACATCCTCTAAAAACGAACTAGTGTGACATTCTAATAACTTGGTGTTTGTTTTTAGTCTCGTCGAGATGTTTACTGGCGTCATCTGCGCCTGTCTTGCAGCTCTTCGGCCGTTTTTCAAGCATTATTTCCCGAATTGGGTTATCTTTAGGGATGACTTTGAGATGCAGCTTACCTCTAGACTACACTTTGCAGCTCCATCAAAGGCGGATGACGGGGACGCGTCTGGGCCTGATCAAGACGGAGCCAGCAAGGCCAGTGTAACTGTTAATGAGCGAGCAAATGTGGTGTGAGCATTTAGGAATATGCATCAAGTTTAGATGCAGGGCACGCTTGTCCCGGTTGAGGTATCATTAGGGCCGAGAAATCTCCATTCGGCCGTGATGGTCCAAATGGCAGCATCATTCAGCTTCTAAGCGGCCCGCTAGATTGTCCATGAGTCAGGGTGACACTCATGCAAGGTGCCTGCACCGCCGTCCAATGATGCCGCACATCACACTTTCCGGCAAGGTTCCAAAGATGCGGAATCACCATGCATTCCCGTCTATTGATGATAGTGCCAGCCATACTTTACCCCTCACGTTACTCAAAACCTTTGAGGCTTCCCACTCCATGCCCACTGTCATTTCCAAATTCTCTCCAACTATATTGCCAACCAATCTACGGCCACGATACACAGAGAACATTGGGCCAATATGGCGTCACTGAAGCCCTTTTCCGTTTTGTTGTTGTTGTTGGTGCTGTATAGCTGTTTTGCACTTGGCGATGGACAACGCAGAACGAGACTCAGGTCGAGCGCTTGGGGGTTCCCTGGTCGGAATGCGACTTTTGACTATATTAGTGAGTCCTTGCCTATGTTAGAGATGGACGATCTGCTAGAGAGAGTGTAGCTAACAATTCCAGTCGTTGGCGGCGGCACAACCGGTCTGACCATCGCAGCCCGCCTGGCTGAGAAATGGTCTGTGGCTGTCGTCGAAGCGGGAGGCTTCCACGACCAAGATAACGGCAACGGAAGTGTGGTTCCTGCCTACGCTCTAACGCAGCAACCTTTTACCTCGTCCGACTCCAACTACCCCCGACAGCCCCTGGTCGACTGGGACCTAACCACCGTTCCCTTGCCCAACGCAGCCGGAAGGGTAATCCACTATGCGCAAGGAAAAGCTCTAGGAGGATGCACTACCCACAACACCATGGGCTACTTACGCGCCACCAAAGGATCACACAAACAATGGGCCGAAATAGCAGGCGACGACACATACAAATTCGAAAACATGCTGCCGTATTTCCGTCGCTCCGTCACGCTCACCCCTCCCGACTGGAAGAAACGCAACACGCCCAACGCCACATTCACATACGACGCTTCAGCCTTTGCCGCAAAGGGGAAAGGAGGTCCAGTCCAGGTATCCTACCCTGCATGGGTCGACCCCTCGGTCACTTGGTTCGCCAAAACCTTCCAAGCAGAGGGCTTGCCCCAGAGCAAAGAAGGATTCAGCAGCGGCGCCCTGTCAGGCTTCAGTTCATACATCCCCATCACGGTCGACCCTACCCTTGCCGAGCGGTCCACCGCCAGGGCATACCTAGAGGATGTAATCCTCCGAACGGAAATAACGGTCTACCACCACACCCAAGCGCTCAAAATCAATTTCGGCCAAGCCAAAAAAGCCACAAGCGTCACCGTCGCCACCGGCCAGAACCCAGTCGAATACACCCTCTCGGCCAGAAAAGAAATAATCATCTCGGCGGGCGTCTTCCACTCCCCGCAGCTCCTCCTAGTCTCAGGCATCGGCCCCTCCTCAACTCTTTCGCCTCTCAACATTTCCGTCATTTCCGACCTCCCCGGCGTAGGCCAAAACCTCCAAGACCAAATCACGATCAACCTGGCCACCGGCCTGCTAGGCTCCCTCCCCACGGGGGGCGGGTACATCCGCTCCCGCGACCCCAAAGTCCAGGCTTCCATCCTCCACCAGTACCTAAACCACCAAGCGGGGCCGCTAACTTCCCTAGGCGCCCTCTTATCCTTTGAGAAACTTCCCTCTTCTTTTCGAGCGGGGCTATCAAACCGCACGCGGTCACTTCTGGACACCGCCCTCGAAACGGACTGGCCGGAAATAGAAATCATAGGCGCGGGCGGTCCCTCCGCTGACCTTGGCTCGACGGTGGGATTCATAGCAGCTGTTTTGTTGCGGCCCTTCTCGGTAGGAAACGTTACAATCTCCTCGGGGTCTATGAAGGATAAACCGGTTATAGATTTAGGTTGGCTTGCCGACGAAGCAGACCGGGAGATTCTGGTTCAGGCGTTCAAACGGCTGAGGCAGATTTTGAATTCGACCGTTTTGGGACAAGTCAAGGCGGGGGGAGAAATATTCCCCGGCGAGGAAATCCAAACAGATGAAGAGATTTTGGGGGTTATAAGGCAAAGCGCGACGACCATTTGGCATGCCAGTTCTACCTGTTCGATGGGGAAGCCGGGAGACAAAGACGCCGTGGTCGACTCGAGGGGGAGAGTCTTGGGCGGGGTCAGGGGGCTGAGGGTGGCTGACATGAGCGTGGTGCCTGTCCAGTTGCCTACGCACCCGCAGGGGACGCTGTACGGGTTGGGGGAGAAGATTGCGGATGATATTTTGAGGGGGCGGGATTAGGAGACGAGGGGAGGAATGGCGGGAAAATTTGTGACTTTATCTAGTAAGGAGGCTGCTTCCAGGCCGAAGTTCAAGTCGGATTTTAACAGCAAAAAATGAGGAGTATTCTTTCCCTCTGTTTTGTTGCTCTAGTGATCTGGACACCCTTTCCCTCCCTACGCCTTGCGTTGATCTGTGTGATATACATATAAAGAACCCTAGAGTCCCTGACTCGGCTGGAGTGAGAATGCCCTCACTTAAGGCTCTATAAAAAGTGCCAGAACATGACTCATGTAAGCCCGATTAGCTCAGCTGGTTAGAGCGTCGTACTAATATCATTCCATCCTGGTGGAGTCATATTTGGTATATGCGAAGGTCAACAGTTCAATCCTGTTATTGGGCATTGCGTTTATTTTTGGGCTATTCCCCCGTCAATTATTGCTTTGCTATTGTTACACACACAATCAATCCCCTTTTTCTTTTTTCTTTTTATTCCCCAGCGTTTTTTGAATCTTTGTCATTTGTTTCCCGGATCCAAGCTGCCGTGCGGTAAAATATCAGTAAATGAGCATCAAACTCGCAGGCCTTTTTTCATCATTGACAACAGCTCCCCGCTCCCAGATGGCCGCATATCCTACAGCGAACCACGTCGAGACTGTAAACGTCGCGCGCGGTAGTATCCCAGAACGCTATTCCCAGTGGTACCAAGTCGGACGTTTCCTTTCTGCAAGGAAAAGACACTCCACTCCGAGAGATGACGACAAGACCCTCGGTGCGTTTGCGATCGACCATTTCGACACAGCCGTAATAAGTGTCCAACCCGGCATGATCAAAGTTCCATCTGACTTTTCGCAACTCCCTTTCTGGCCGTGTACTAGTAGTACCTTTAGCCTCACAACATTGCTATCCTCCGCGTCCTTTAATTAACAGATTAGGGGTCGATTTAATGGTGCTGATCCTGAGCGCCAGAGATTCCACAGCCACGGGACCAAAGACATCATAAGAGGGGAATCGCCCCCGAAAACGCTTTGGAGAACAATGTACATGGCCGCTGCTTCGCGGTGGGCGTCTATGCATAAACTTGTCGAATAGAAGTACCCACCTCCAAGCCTGCAGTTGAAAGCATCTCCGAATTTAATACCCACGTCGAAAGCGCCACCCGTGCAGCGCTGTTCGCCAAACCAGTTACCCCTCGCAGGCATACATGGACCCCGGCGCCGAGCGGGAATCATTCGACGGACGGCCCAGTCGAAAGCCAGCTCCCAAAGGGCGAGGCGGACGCGTTGGCGCTCAACCCACGCAGGCGGCTCCTGGGGGTTTTGTCTTCGACGCGGTCGGAGAAGTTCTGGAGCATACAGGCCAGGCAGACGTGCTCGAGCAGGTCAATCCTCGCCGCCACGTTCAAGAGGACGGGCGAGGGCGGCGTCCCCCGCAACATGTCGAGCTGAGGGGGAATCCTGTCGAGGAAGGGATGTTCCTCTGAAGGGTTGACCTTCTTGAAGGACGCGAGGAAGTCGTCAATCGTGTTGATGCTGCCGTGTCTGCAGTAAGGGCTGGCTTCTGGCGCTGCGAGAGAGGCAAGCGCGGCGATCCACCGGGGAGAGCACTTGACGTGGTCGGGTAGGTGGTTTTCTGATAGATTTTGCGCAACCGCCTTTTCGGAGACGCTCTGAAATCCTTCAAGTCGATAGATTGTGACGAAGCTGTGTACTGGAGGCAAGTTATTAATCTTGTTCCCGATGATGCCTGTCGGGTCGCCGATGCCAGAGCTGTCTTCGGAGTGATAGTCTACCATCTTTCCAAGCCTTGTTGGCGCAACTATGGCGGTCGTGGTCAGATAGGCTTAATGAAGATGTTGAAAACTCAGGAGTGGCGTAAATCGCATGAAATATTCTGATTCGGAATGCTTGCCAAAAACAAAATGAATCCAAGTAAATTTAGCGAGGAGCACCGAAAAAAAAGAAGAAAAAAAAAGGTTGACCAGCTATTTCTTAGTAGTAGAGCTGAAATCATTAGTTAGATTTTCAACTTTCTACTTGTGGTGGTGATACCGAAGTCGAAATACTTCAATTGTGAGTATTTGGAGCTCTGAAGCTCCGATTGGCTGCAAGCCCCAAAGGCCAAGAAATTCAGCTTATCTGCGTTTAAAGGTCTGGAGAGGAAGTGATGCAGCTCTCTTCACCTGCACACATAATTGCCCTCGGAATCCACAACAAATCTGATATCATCAAAACCTGTTCACCTAAACAGGAAAAGGAAAATTGGGAGGTCACACAACTTGCACAAAAAATGATGCCAAGAGACGTTTGGGGGTTTCAAGTTCCGATCCGAGTCCGGCGAAGAAGGTGTGGAGCCGATTGGGCCTGTGCCATCACGTCTCACGAGCACGCAATCGGGCTAAGAGCCATCTGACATGATCAAGAATGCAAAGAGAAGGTGCGACCTTCTTTAAAAAAAAAAAAAAGGCCAAAATGACTCTTATCATCATTCCAAGGTTCCAAACCGCGTTTTGCATTTATATGGCATTTTCCCGCTTGGAAATCTCAAAAAGTGGTTGTTGTTAGATCATCATCCCCAAAACACCAATTACCACCAAACGCCGCCAGCCTCCTCACCGACCAATCATTACGTCTCATTACGTCGACCATCGCTCATTCGAGGGGATCCACCACAACCATAACCACAACCACATCCGTCAAGAAACAACAACAATGGCGGATAATCCAGATTACAAGAAACCTCCTCCATCTTACACTGCAGACCCCGAAGACCGAGTCGACAGCGAGGCAGCCAGCGAGATCATCGACATCGAGGAGGAGAATATGTTTCCGGAATCGAGAAAGATCGGTGTCATGGGCGCCGTGTTCCTTATCCTCAACAAGATGATAGGTACCGGAATCTTCTCGACCCCCTCGAGCATCTTCGCGGCAACGGGATCGGTCGGCATCAGTCTGGCTCTCTGGGCGGCGGCAGGAATTCTCACCCTTTCCGGTCTGAGCGTCTACCTAGAATTCGGCCTCGCGATCCCCCGGTCCGGAGGCGAGAAGAACTATCTCGAGCGCGTGTTCCGGAAACCTCCCTTTCTCGCCACTAGCGTCTTTGCCGTGCAGATGATCCTCCTGGGGTTTTCAGCCGGCAATTCGCTCGCCTTTGGCCGATATGTGCTCTTGGCTGTTGGCCATCCGATGCCTGATGGATGGTTCCCGCGTCTGATTGCAGTCATCTGTATGACGCTTGTCGTGCTTTTGCATGCGGTTCTTCCAAAATGGGGGTTGAGACTGACCAACGCGCTGGGGATCTTCAAGGTTCTGGTGTTGTTGCTCATCGTTTTCTCCGGGTTCGCGGCGCTGGCTGGCTATCGTCTCGTTCCGGATCCTCACAATTTCGACAACTTTTGGGCTATCGAAAAGGGAGATGGATATGGTGGCGGTGGTGCATACGCCTATGCAACTGCTCTTTTGCAGGTCGTGTACAGCTACAAGGGCTGGGAAAACGCAAACTACGTGATGGGGGAGCTCAAGAATCCGCAAAGAACCCTCAAGATCGCGGCGCCGCTTGCAGTTATCGGTATTACCGTTCTTTACGTGCTGGCCAACGTTGCATACTTTGCCGCTATTCCAAAGGCAGAACTGGCCAAGTCTGAGGTTATTGTTGCTGGGCTTTTTTTCCGCAACATGTTTGGCGAGAGCGTGGCAGCAAGGAGCTTACCGGCATTCGTCGCCCTCAGCAATATTGGCAACGTTTTGGCCGTCAGTTTTGCTCACTCTCGGGTCAACCAGGAATTGGCCAAGGAAGGCATCTTACCGTGGAGCAAATTCTGGGCTTCCAGCAAGCCTTTCAACACCCCGGCCGCTTCTGTAAGTGATACCAGGACCGTGAAAATGATTCCAATACTTCCGACTGACCGAAATTTAGTTGTTACTGCACTGGATCGTCACCGTCATTGTTCTCATCGCGCCCCCTCCTGGTCCGGCTTACAACTTTGTTGTCAACCTGTAAGTTGGCTATCAACAATCCCTGCCAGAATTTGTCGCAACTAACGTGTTTGTCCAGATACACTTACCCAGGAGCATGGATCAACGGCTGTGTGGCAGGTGGCCTAATCTACCTGCAATACAAAAAGTCGGAAAACTGGTCTTCTCCATGGAAGACTCACCTCCCTGTTTCGGTCGTCTACCTTCTTCTCAACCTCTTCCTCGCCCTCACACCATTCATCCCGCCAAACAGCGACTGGAACGCCGACGGCTACCCATACTACGCTTTCCCGCTGGTGGGAATTGCTATTCTTCTCCTTGGCGGTGTGTATTGGATCGTCTGGACCAAGGTAATGCCGAGGTTTGGGGGTTACGTCCTCGTGGCAGAAAACGTGATTGATGAGTATGGACAGGACGTGGTGAGGTACAGGAGGTCTAGGAAGGCACCGCTTGATGGTGTTTCTGAGCCATTATTGGGAGGTGGTGCTGCTGTCCGGCACCGACATGGATACGAGAGTATCAGGTCGTGAAGGGGACCAGATTGTGATGAGTGATAAGAATTTTATGACACGGATGATGGGTATGATCTTATGACAAGCATGGAAATGGGACTGGATGATTTACGAGGAGCATTAGGAGCACATTGGTTGGTTTTATGGAGTTGCATAGCATGGGACCTATGATGGTACAGGTTCGGTACTTTCAACATTAATAAGATGAGATATGATTCAACCGACAGACTTGGAGAATAGAGAGTTTGGCTTACATATTTTTACGATCAATACAATAATATATCCCCTTGAATGTTTGTTTGTTTGTTTGTTTGTTTGTTAGAGCGTAACCTTGTGGTGAATATCATGATGCCTTTTTGGAATTCAACGGGCCTTCCCAAAAATGAGCAGGTATTCTGATGTGTAACTATATGTACCTTCCTTGGGATCAAAAGCAGGAACCCATGATATATACCCACGTTCGAGTTGTATTTTAATGCGGCACGCCTCACCGATTTCCCTCCACTGCACAGATCATTGCCTGGAGGCTAGTGCTGTGTCTCGTCCCACAATGAGGCACCTGTATAAACGGGTGGGATCCCGAGTATAGTCCGCCACGGCATGGGCACGCACAACACCTTCCTTCTTTGCTCGGAAGGATCAGATTGATCTGACCATACCATTGAATGGGCTGATGAGGTGAGGGAACAAATATTACCCCGCGACGGACGGAAAAACACTCATCAGAAAGGAATGAGGGGTGGTCGGTGGGAGTTACAGTCACACGGCTTTTGGTGTGGAGTTTCCGGATGATCAGCGGTGAGCGGATGGTGGCTCCAGAGTTTTGTGCGTGTGGTTTGAATTAGGAAGGTGGGAGGGTTTATCAGCATGGGACGAGACATGCATTGCAGTTCGGTGCTTCGAAATCATTGGATGGT